ACATCCTTGTTGACCCTATTTGGGACACTTTGCATGAATGCAACCGCTTCAGCCTTGTTGTGCGCCGGTGCTTCGTGCAGCGGAACACAAAGGACAACTGCGACAAAGAGCCAAAGCCATATTTGTTCCTGCCGAAGAACAACGATCGAGTGCTGCCCAATGCCTTTTCGCACATCTTAGACATTCGACATGTGCAGGTGGAGACTGGCGTCCACACCATTGTGAGGCTGCCTGGCAAAGTTGTCAGCGACTGCACCTTGTCAAGCTGCAGGAGACTGTTGTTTGTCTGCAGGACTGAGCGTTCCAAAAGTGCTGTGAGCTCAGAACTGTTCTGTTTGAGGAAAGATACGAACCAAGCGGCAACACGAAACCAGAACACCAAAACACAAACCAAAACCAAACCCAACCCAACCAAAAAGGAGCAAGGTTCGTACCTCAGGTTGGCTGCGTAAGCCAGTGGAGAGAGTGAAGCCAGGTGAAACGGAGGGGCAACGAATTCTCCTTTGCACTCAGTTCATCACATTCTGGGCATAGTCCTCTTTCTTCGAGAGAGTCCGTGAGATTGGTGTACTGCTGTCGAACTGGTTGCATTCATCTTGCGGTGATATGCGATGAGGGTTCAGCAATGCGGCCAAGGTGCCTTACTTCAAATGAGGCATCATCGCTTGAAGCGCAAAGTTGTAATGCATGGATGGACAGCTCGGACCCAAGAAACGAGACGAATCAGTACGCATTTACACCACACAATATCAGCAAATTTGTGAGGACATGACGAATGAGATAGCCTACGTAGGCTGCGAGGCACTTGAGGCGCCGGGAAAATGATTGAGTCAGCTGAGTCAACCCCCGAAGACTACAAATCAACGAAAGACAGAAACAGCCTGCCACGAGCAGACATGGAGGGTGCAAGGGAGCACCGTACCGGCATGGTCGCCACCCCCCCGAGGGGGGGAGACGGCAGCATTCCACTTCAGCAATGCAACGGTGTCTCTTAAACAGCTATGCCACGAGAGACGCAGAAAGGCTAATCTGTCCAGGCAAGCTGGATCAGCCGCTCGCCAAGTTCGTCTCCACACCTTGCTGTTAGTGAGCCGACCTGGCTGTGAGCCTCAGCTCTTGGCCGGAGATTGGGCGTTTGAAGCGAGGCAACACGACTGCAAAGCTGCAACCTCAAGAAATGTTGGAAAACCTTGAGGTACCTCATCGAACATTCTTGCCGGCAGTGCGCACCTATCTCAGCTGATTCCAATAGCTGTGCACCCATCTCACTGCTCCCTTTGAGGAAAACTTGCCAACCTGACTGAGAAGTACTGAGCGTAAAGAATGAATTCATCGCCCCCGTCTCACTGCGTTTCACTCTTTTGCATTGGCCTACGCAGCCTACCTGAGGTACGAACCTTGCACCTTTCTTGGTTCTTTTGGTTTGTTGGGTTGGTTGCGGTTTTGGGTTTCTTGTTCTGGTGTTGCTGCTTGGTTCGTATCTCTCTCTTTTACTAGACTAAGGTGACTTGTGCATCCTCTGCACACATAGCGCCTCGACCCGTGCAAAAAAACTTGGCCGGAGATTGGGCGCGCGGCAGTAGAACTGTAGACGATTGGCACCCAGGTGAGAACCTCAGTTCTTTGTTTGTGGGAGTCAGCACTCAGCCAATCTTGTACAAAGATGGGACAAGGACCATGCTAGGATAAATCTGGGTTTCACCAGTTTCACCAGGGCCATGCACGCCGGTGGATAGTGACCTTTGATGACCGCTCTATATATCTCATTGGAAATGTGCACGCCCCCCAGGCTCCTCCCGCTTGTTGCTCGGGAGCCATTTGGGCGGGCGTGTGATGCCTCCCCCTGCTTGAGGGAGGTCAATAGGTTGCCTGCAGCCGCACTTTCGTTGCGATGTCTCTCACCTCTGTACCCAAGCCTGGCCACAGCCTCCTTTGCTCGTGCAGTCATTTGTAGTGGTTATGCCACAGAGTGGCTGTTTTCCAAGGCCTGCAAAGCATCGCAACTGGATGACCTGCAACGATCATCATAAACTTTCGTGCTGCAATTCATTCGCACCAGCTGCTCTATTAGTCTTCGAACAAAGCTGAAGTGCCTGCGACCGAGGGCAAAAGGCGACCGAAGTGATCCCATCGGCTGTATCGTGAGGGCTCTTTCCATGGCCGCCGTGTCTGACTGGGCCCCTTCTTGGATCTGGGGCTGAGAGGGATGAACCGACATGAAGGTGCCATCAATCGTAACGGTCATAAGCGGTGGAAGGGAAAGGAAAAAGACGAAGAGACCATTAACTCCGAGGGCCAGAGACCAAAATTAAGAATGCAGTTTACTTATTTTGATTTTGGTCGGTCCTTTCCGCCTGGTCTGGATTCTAGCCGCCTGTCCTTGCTTCCAAAAAGGGCAGGTGGTGAATCCCCAGACAAAGACCAGTCCACAAGCCCCTAAGTTGGAGAGAAGTGGGAGGGAAAAATATAAGAGAGAAGAACCCGACCAAGATCCACCCAGAATAACCCCTTGGAAGCAGTGGATCTTGGAAGAGGAAATCATTGGTAACCGCTGGAAAGAACTGGAAGGTGAATGACAGCGGTGAAGGGGCCCATCTGTCTCTTCCCTTTTCATCGCTTGTACCCGTCATGTCGGTTCATCCCTCTCAGCCCCAGATCCAAGAAGGGGCCCAAGGAATCCCAGGCGAGCCACTGTGCCCCATCAATCTCATCCTCGTCTTTCATGTTATGAGATTGATGCCTGACAAGCGAGGTTAGAGTCAACAGGATGCCAGGGTGACTCTTTCCCTTGTCTGCGCACGAAGGCCACCGTTGAATGGCCTTCATGGACAACAGCCAAAGTCCTGATACAGCGTACTGCATTCGTCGAGAATTCAGGCCCATCTAGTTAGTACGACACTCTCTCAAGTTTCACACGTCTCACCTTAGTACAGACGAAACTCTGCCCACATTGGTTGTTGGGGTCTTTTGGTGCTGGTGTTTTTGGGGTGGGTTTTTGGTTTTCTGTCTTTTCGGGTTGCTCCGCAACCCCCTACCAATATGCAGAGTTTCCATCCTTTCTATGATGACCTGGGCACACCGCCCACATGGCGTCCGTACTCGTGGAAAAGAAATTGCTCGCCCAGGCTGGCACCGATGTGTCGGTCCTGCTGAACAATCCCTTCGCCTCTGACGACTCTCTGTACAGCGCAATAGTGTAGATAGACAGCGCCCAGGCTGCCACCTTAGTGGCGGTCCTGGATGAGTACAAAGAGTGCAGGCCTCAGAGGCATACTAGATATGGGGTAACGGCGTTTTACCTTTGTTTCACCTAGATAGTGGGGCTTTGCGTGGTACAGACGATCGACGAACGGCTTACACATGCCTTGCACATGCCTTGCACAAGACTTGCGCGACAAGATGCGCGCATTTTGTCCCTTTTGAACTCTATGGGACGATTGTCTTTCTGTGACTCCCGTGGCTAAGCTGTTTATGGAGTCACCGCCACAAGCATGTGTTGCATCCCTGTCACTCTCCTCCCCTCGGGGAGGAGTTGTCCCTTTTGTAGGTTTGCCTCAACTTCGTGCCTGCTTGGAAGCGGCTACACTTCAGCTTTGCTTGCAACAGCCCGAAGCTATTGTAAGCTACTGGCAGTGGTTTTCCTTTGCACCAAATCCAAGCTGCCTTCCGAGCACCCTGCAGTTTTGTACGGAACCGACACCCAATGATGCATGCACCAATTGCTGCCTGCAAGGCATTCCAATGCCCACCAGAATGCTCTCGCGACGCAACTTCGCCCATAGTGACCTGCTTCAGGACACGCTGTCATTGACAAGCATGACAAGTCAGTGCAAAAAGGAGTATGCTGTCGCAAGGAACGAAACTCAGCCCTCCATCGTCGCGAAGATGCACTGAGAGCCAACCGAATTCATTGCCTCTGTTTCACCTGCTTTCAATTTGGCTTACACGGCCGCTAGAGCTACACCCCAGGTTGCAGTCTGTCTTTTGGGGTTTTGGTTTTGGTTTTGGTTTGGTGTTGTGTGGTTTTGGGTTGGTTGTGCGTTGGCATTTTTGTTCTTCTGGGTGTCTTTCCTACTGCAACCTGGATCGTAACTCTCTTTTACTCTCTCTTTACTAGCAAAAGATGACCTGTGCAACCTCTGCACACATGGCGTCTCCACCCGTGCAAAATGGCCCATAACCTTGACCCACATGCCATTGTGGTAGGTCGCGGCCAGAATGTTGCACATGCTTGGCATCGTCAAGATCTTCATCTCCCGATTGAGGAAGAGACCAGTGAAGATTCGTGGTGGGTTTGGATGTTGTTCGGACTGGCTTGCTTAGCAAGTGTTGGAGCCTTGAGTGTGGCAGGGTGGTTCTGCCCAAAAAGTGTGCAGTGGAAAGTGAACGTGCAGCGGCAGATCATGCAGCTTGCCATTGCAGATCAAGAGGAAAGGCTCAAGTGAAGTGAAAGAAGAACAGGACACAATGGGAATCGTGCGCAAATCTGGCCAATCGAGCCAGGCCTGTGATCTGACCCTGCAGTCAGTGCATCCCTTCTGCCATCAGGGTGACAAGATTCAATCAAACTCCCATCAGCTCAGGCCTCATGTAACATGGCGGTGTGGACGCGTACAGGTCGATGCGCTCACTCCCATTGTAAGTAAGGCCCAAAGGCGCAAAAATGAGTTGCGCATGATTTGTCAACATGATAAATGGGTTTGGGTGAAAATAGGGTTTCATTCTTCACCAGTTCACACAGATGATTTTTTTGCTCAGTGTTTTTTAATGAACGACTGGTGGAGTGTTAGATATTTGTCCACAGGGACTTGAGATTTCCTGAGGACCTTTGTATAGAGCTACCGAGGCATGCTTTGGTTACTTCTTTCACATGTAGTCTGTGCTGAAAATCCCCCATGGCGTGTGTCATTTGCGGCTCAAAAATGCAAGAGTGCAGTAACTGGACTCGAAGAACAGGTTGAAGGACTTGCCTCATGACACAGAATGATGTGAATGTAACATTGGGTGTTATGTCCTGAAAGGAACCCAGCCAACACCAGCCCGTCAAACTTAGTGGCATGATGGCAACTTGCAGCTCGGTGGCAGGAGAAGCGGTCAGAGAAGGGTGAATCTCCGGCTCCAGAGTGGCTGGTTCTTGGGTTTGGGCCTTCTGCCCTGGGCAAAGTTGAGATGGCTCCAAAATGGGATCTAAATATTGCAGACATAGGTTTTTGCCCAGTCTTTTTTGGTGGATCCTCTTATGTGGATATCACCCACATTGGCCCCAAGTAGTGCTTACAAATGTGTTTCCTTTGTTCTGCGCTGTTGGGATATACTGGTCGGTCCTGCCTCGGTGCACGGGTTTCAGAATGCTCGTTTGCCAGGGTGCCTGGTTAGGAAGCAGCAAACGATCAACCCATATAGCAGTGGCAAAGATCTCCTACTAGGACCCACTGTCGGGGTGGTTTTCATGAACACCCTGAATCACCTCTAAGGGGCTATCAAAAGACACCCCTTAGGGTGTCCTGGTATAGTTGACTAGTCTTTTGGGGTCGGGTTTCAAACACAAAACTATAGCTGATACCTGCGATTCGGAATTTTGCCGGGCATAAAGAAGGCCAGGTGGGCGAAATTCGTTGGGAGCAATGAACAGTCTCCTTGAACCTGCATATACGTGGGTTTTACACCACAGATCCACTTCAGAGAATGAGATAGGCATGGCATGGGCTATAACAATCTACAATCGACACTGACACTCGACACTTGCCACTTGACTCGTACATCTTACGACTGTGGAACCCTTGACGATTTTGGAACTTGCTGATAGGCAAATCTTCAACGCTGCTGGAGTATGGATAAGACTGAAAGGATGCCGCATGGACAGCCTGCGACATGTCGCAGGACATGTTGCACAAAAAAAAATGTATCCTGTTGAAAAGCGACATGGAACCGACCAATTTTCTGAAACCATTTTGGCACATGTCCCAGAAATACCAGACATCGACCATCGAACTCCAAGATCTCACAGCTCTATCAGATGCTCCTTCTGTATCTATTGGGATCCTCGATCCTCCAATTTCCGCTCCTCCTCAGCCAGACACGCTCGTTCTCGCGTGGACACGCTGCGTGACGTGTAGACACGACGTTTGTGCAGGCGTTGCGTGGCGTCTTGAAGATCGCCGTGGCAATGTTTTTGACCTGAAGAGCCGTCCGGATTCTTAGGGCCAAACGGGCCAAACTTCTGCCAAACGTTCCACTCAAACACCTTTTAAATGCTAGACCCCCACAGGTCTTTTCAGTCGCAACAAAAGAGATCGAAGGATCACAGAACCCCCTCTCTGGCATCCTCAACCACTACACTCCCTCCCTGTAGGGATCCGTTTTCGTACCGAACCTGAGGTTCGGTACGAAAACGGACCCGACGTGCGTTTTGGCACCTATATAAGGGATCGTGTGCGAACACATCCACCGGACCGGAGGGGGTGCATGTGGATCGTGAGGGCCCCGATGGGTAGATCATGTGGATGGCCCTGAAGGGCCATGAAATCCGAATACCAAAGATACGTGGTGTGCGTCGAGCCTCGGGAGGTGTGTGCGAAACCTGCCCGGCAGAGACGGTGAACGGTTCGGGTCCCCTTCTCGACCCTGTTGTTCAGGTCGGATTCGACCCCGAAAAGGTCAGAGTCCAAGGATCCTGTCAGCAGTTTTCTTTGGAGATGAAGCTCCAACCGTACGTTTTTTCCCGAATGAAGATGGGGCACCGGCCATCGCGCACCAAGGGGGAAACGCAGAGGCGCGGCAGATGCGGGGGCCGTGGGCAGATCCGAACCGTGACGGAGCCCGTGAAGCCTGGAATGTTAAAACCCGAGGTTGGAGGCCATTGCTATGAGGTTGGAGGCCATTGCTATGAGGTTGGAGGCCATTGCTATGAGGTTGGAGGC